AAAAGGATTGTTAAAAAGCCTACTCTTTTCTTCAGACTACAGCATGGCTCAGTAATAGGATGCGCATGTGTGGTATGGGTGGCTGTTTGGCCTAGCAGTTAGGATGCCAGCTGGGGTGCCTGAGCTCAGCACGGGCTCCACTCCCGACTCCAGCTTCCTGCTAGCACACACCCTGGGAGGCAGCAGCGATGGCTCAAGCAGATGGGTCCCTGCCACCTGCGTGGGAGACTCAGACTGGGTTCTGAGCTTCCAGCTGTGGCCTACCCCAGTTCTGTGGGCACTTAGCCCAGTTCTGTGGGCTCTCTCTGCCTCTGAAATAAATAAAATTTATTTAAGAAACTGTATAGTAGCCGGCGCCTCGGCTCACTAGGCTAATCCTCCGCCTGCAGCGCTGGCACACCGGGTTCTAGTCCCAGTTGGGGCACCAGATTCTGTCTGGCTGCCCCCCTTCCAGGCCAGCTCTCTGCTGTGGCCAGGGAGTGCAGTGGAGGATGGCCCAAGTGCTTGGGCCCTGCACCCGCATGGGAGACCAGGAGAAGCACCTGGCTCCTGGCTTCGGATCAGCGCGATGTGCCGGCTGCAGCGGCCATTGGAGGGTGAACCAACGGCAAAGGAAGACCTTTCTCTGTCTCTCTCACGGTCCACTCTGCCTGTAAAAAAAAAAAAAAACAAAAAACAAAAAACAAAAAACTGTATAGTAAACAGATTCTTATTTAAATCCTGTCAGTGGATGTCAGTGACCATATTAGGGGACTTAAAAAAGTTTGTGGAGGGGGCCGGCTGCATAATGCAGTAGGTTAATCCTCCACCTGCGGCACCGCCATCCCATATGGGCGCCGGTTCTAGTCCCAGCTGCCCCTCTTCCAATCCAGCTTCTACTATGGCCTGGGAAAGCAGTCCTGGGCCCCTGCACCTGCATGGGAGACCAGGAAGAAGACCTGGCTCCTGGCTTCGGATAGGTACAGCTCTGGCCATTGTGGCCATCTGGGGAGTGAACCAACGGAAGGAAGACCTTTCTCTCTGTCTCTCCCTCTCACTGTCTGTAATTCTACCTCTCAAATAAATAAATAAAATTTGTTAAAATAAAGTTTGTGGATAATAGAATTAAAAGAGTTTTATTTTGAAGTCAAAAGATTATAATTCATGCTTATGTTTTCAAAAAGTTCATGGAAAATGTGCATTGTGGGAAAAAAAAAAACCTGTGCACAGATTTAAGAATTTTTACACCAAAGTAAACTTGGTTTAATTCCAATTTCCATCCATTTTTTTGCAGTCCCCTTGGACGTATTACTTCATTTTCAGAAAAGGTCAAATGTAAATCGGAGACCATTCAAGAAAGTGAAGCGTGCACAAATAGCCCTGATGCCCTGCAGAGCAGGAATAGAATGCGGTATGCAGAGTGGGGAAGTGGGGAGCGGGAGAGCGGAGCAGTGAGCACCTCTGCTTCTCGATACCGATCTAGAGCCCAGTCACCCAGCCCAGAGGGCTGAGCCCATTCTTCGTCCTAAAAGGCCTGATCCCCGTGCAGCCCCACCCAACTCCTTCATACGAGCTGGATGAATCTGCCTCCCGATTTATAAGGTAGTCGGGTCAGGTGGATTAAAATGGATGGATTTACTTAATCCCTGGGGAAGACGGGCACCTAATCCTAAACACGCTAGAAGCTATGACTTTCGCAAGACAACAGTTGTATGAGTAATAATGACCAATTCACCTTAAACCACACCAAAGAGCAGAGTAGTTGATACTACCTTGTGATGTCAGCCTTAGTTTTGTTTTTTCTTTTTAGCCTCATTATTCCTCCTACTTTTTTTTTTAAACATTTTTTTTTTTTGACAGGTAGAGTGGACAGTGAGAGAGAGAGAGAAAGGTCTTCCTTTTGCCGTTGGTTCACCCTCCAATGGCCGCCGCGGCCGGCGCACTGTGCTGATCCGATGGCAGGAGCCAGGTGCTTCTCCTGATCTCCCATGGGGTGCAGGGCCCAAGGACTTGGGCCATCCTCCACTGCACTCCCGGGCCACAGCAGAGGGCTGGCCTGGAAGAGGGGCAACCGGGACAGAATCCGGCGCCCCGACCGGGACTAGAACCCGGTGTGCCGGCACCGCAAGGTGGAGGATTAGCCTAGTGAGCCGCGGTGCTGGCCATCCTCCTACTTTTTAAGGCAGAGACAGAGATGGAGAGACAGAAGGAGAAAGGCAGACAGAAAGACAGGGAGCCCCCATCTGCTGATCATTCCCCAGACGCCTGCAGTGACTGGGACTTGGCAAGGCCGCAGTCAGGAGCCTGGAACTCAACCCAGGTCTTCCACGTGGGCAGCAGGGACCCAGTCACTTGAGTCATAGCCTGCTGCCTCCCAGAGTCTGCATTGGCAGGAAGCTGGAGTTAGGCCTTAAATCCAGGTTCTCTGATAATGGGACGCAGGCACTGCTAGGCCAAATGTTCGCCCCAACTGGTAGACATTTTACTTATTTTCATTTTATTTGAAAGGCAGAGAGAGAGAGAGAGAGAGAGAGAGAAGAGATCTTCCATCCTTTGGTTCACTCTCCAAATGCCTGCAACAGTCAGGGGCTAGAGCTTCATCCGGATCTCCCACGTGGGTGGCAGGGACCTGAACACTTGAGCCATCAGCTGCTGACTCCCAGAATGTCTTTAATCAGGAAGCTGGACTGGAGGCAGAGCAGCAGGGACTCAGCCCAGGTACTGCAGTAGGGAACGCGGGCATCTCAAGTTGCCTCTCAACCACTGTGCCAAATGCCCGCCCCCGGTGGACGTATTACATGACACACATTCACGCACAGCCTAAATGCTAAGGTGTGCGGCAAAGCACAGACCTATATCTTAGCCACTCCATGCCCTTCTTAAATGGGAGACCTCCTAGGGCCAGGGCAACAGGAAGGGAGACAGAATGCTCTGGATTCCAAGATGAAAAAAGCCCGGCAGAAACGGGTCGCCCATGAAATGAGGAATCCCAGGTTTGCAAACGGCGTCTGAAGGATGCACCCTCATCGTGACTCTGACAAAGGCCAATGTCAGGGGATTCCTTATGGGCCATCCAGGGAGTGTGCGAGATCAGACATTTCCCAAACCACGCTGCTCCAGGTGGAATCACGGCATGCACGTCAGGCTTGAAGGAGACCTCAGAAGTCATAAAATCACAGACAAAAGAACTGTGGAGCACAAAGACACTTTGCCGGAATTTCACCCTGAGGCCTAAAAGTTGAAAATAAGACAAAATAATTCACAGACATTAAGGAATAAAAAAGGGCCAGGCATATGGTGCAGCAGTGGACTCCACCTGGGACACACACATCTCGTTAGCTGTTTCGGTCCTGGCTTTGCTCTCAATTCCAGCTTCCAGCTGACGGACCTCTAGGGAGGCAGCAGGTGGCGGCTCCAGTGGTTGAGTCCCTGCCTCCCCTGGGAAACCTGGGCTGAGTTCCTGGCTTTGGACTGGCCTGCCCTGGTTGTCACAGGCATCTGGGAAGTGAATCTGTGGGTGGAAGACGTTTCTTTGTCTTTGCTTCTGCCTTTGAAAGAAGGAGGGAAGAAGGAAAGATGGAGGGAGAGGAGAAGGAGGGAGGGTTGAAAGGAAGGAACGATGAAAGAACAAGAAAGAAAACTAAAAGAAGCCTGGGAATGAGAGGTTTAAACCAACACGAACAAGTCCTGGATCTACAAGCTCTGAGATAAAGGTTTGGAAAATATATATATTTTTAAAGGGAAGTATTTCATTAGTTCGTCATAAAAAGTTTCAGGTGCAAAAGCAAACTCTTGTAGGAAAATTTGGAAATATCTATGACACATCTGTGTGATCCTGATATATATATTTTTAGAAAATGTATTTATAGGTTCGGTGCTGTGGTGTAGCCGGTTAATGCCCTGGCCTGAAGTGCCGGCATCCCATATGGGCACCGGTTCGAGTCCTGGCTGCTCCACTTCCCATCCAGCTCTCTGCTGTGGCCTGGGAAAGCAGTGGAAGATGGCCCAAGGCCTTGGGCCCCTGCACCCACGTGGGAGACCAGGGAGAAGCTCCTGGCTCCTGGCTTCCGGTCGGCGCAGCTCCAGCCGTTGCAGCCATCTGGGGAGTGAACCAGTGGATGGAAGACCTCTCTCTCTCTGCCTCTCATCTTTCTGTGTAACTCTGCCTTTCAAATAAATAAATACATTTTTTATTTGAAAGGCAGAGTTACACAGAGAGAGGGAAAGACAGAGGAGGAAGACGGGGGAGAAGAAGGGAGGGGAGGAGAGAGAGTATCCCATGTGCTGGTTCACTCCCCAGACAGTTGTAAAGGCCAGGGCTCGGCCGGGCTGAAGTCTGCGGGAACAGCACTGGGTCTCCCACGTGGGTGCAGGGACCAGCCGCTGCTGCTTTCCCAGGTGCAAAGCCGAGAGCTGGGATCCCGCAGGTGCTCATGTGGGATGCTGGCACGGCCGGCGGCGGCTTACGCGGCCGGGCCGCAACGCGGGCCCCTCCAGTCATACTTGTAGGCAGCGTCTCTGGAATGCACCGGGAAGACGTCTGATTACCTAACTTTGCTACGGGCATGTAATAAGTGAGCTGTGTCCTCGTGTATTGTTCAGCATTCTTCCAAACTGGTCGATTCGTAGTTACAAACTGCCCGTTTTTCCCTTTAAGACTTACGCACTGTTTTACTTATTGTCAAACTTGCAAAAAAAAAAAAAAAAAAGTGATTATCTGACCCAGAAGCTCCCTGGCGACCCTCCGCGATGCGGCTAAAACCGAAAAAGGAGAAGTCAACGGCCACAGGGTCTGGGCCGGGAGAACTGAGGGGCCGCGGCGCGTCGGACGTCCACGCACTCGTTAAAAACCCCGAGAGCCGGGCTGGGCGCTGGACTTACGGATCCGCCTGGAAACCCGCCGCTCCCAGTCGGCGCCGCAGGCCGGCCGCGAATCCCAGCCGGGTTCCCGCGCCGCCGCCTCGGCCCGCCTCCTGGCGCGCGCCCCGCCCCCTCGCGCTGCCTTGTGGGCTTCTTCCCGTGGTGCCCCGCGCCCGCGGTGGCGGTTGCCGGGCAACGAGCGGCCCCTCGCGCCGGCCGCGCCGGGGTCCCCGGGGGCTATGGGGCTGCCGGGCCTCCGGCCGCTCCTGCTGGTCCTGGCGGGCTGCTGGGCGGCGGTGAGGGCCCAGACCTCGGCGACCCCGGCCGCGACCTCGGACAACTTCACTGAGGCAGCCCCGGCCACTTTAGGACCGTCCGTGTCGCCTACGCCCCCCGGAACCTCCCGAGCCCCGGAGCCCTCCTTCGGCTCCAGGCCCGCGCCGGTCACGGACGGTGGGTGCCGGGCGCCGACTCCTGGGGGTGGGGGTCCACCGTGACTGGAGGGGGCAGCCGGGTGAGGGTGCGGCGCTCCGTGGACACCCGCGGCGAGCCGGCCGTGCTGGGTGTCGCCTGGGCGTCCGTCCTCTCGGTCACCGCGGGCGGCCGACGTTACTGTCCACGCGTGCAAGGGCGGCGGCCGAGGCGCGGGGAGCGTCAGCCACGCGTGTGGCGGCCGATTTCCAGGCCGACCTGACCTGGGCGACTTCGGGGTGGGTGGGGGGTGTCCGTGCGACCCCTGGAGTCAAGGGTCGTTAGCAGTCAGATTTTTAAACGGGTTTGTATCCTAAAAAAAATTAATCCTCTGAATCCAGAGGGGATTGAGAGGAACCTCCGTAAGGTGTGCGGCATTGTTTTTTATTTGTATTTTATTTTATTTTAAGATAAATATTTATATATATTTTATTTAAAAGATTTTATGAATCTTTATTGTATTTTATTTTATTAAGTTACTTTGCAGGTGAAATGCATAGCACAGTGCCCCCTGCACAGTGAGTGGTTAATCCGTTTTTATTTCCCCTCTTGAGAGAAAAGTCGATTCTGAGATTGAGTAAGGCAGAGTAGTAGTAAATTTAAAAAGCCCCATTGGCTGACAGCCTGCACTCTAGTTCCTAACTGTTATTTCTTTCTTTCTTTTTTCTTTTCTTTTTTTTTTTTTTTTTTGACAGGCAGAGTGGACAGTGAGAGAGAGAGAGAGAGAGAGAGAAAGGTCTTCCTTTGCCGTTGGTTCACCCTCCAATGGCCGCTGCGGCCAGCACACCACGCTGATCCGATGGCAGGAGCCAGGTGCTTCTCCTGGTCTCCCATGGGGTGCAGGGCCCAAGCACCTGGGCCATCCTCCACTGCACTCCCTGGCCACAGCAGAGAGCTGGCCTGGAAGAGGGGCAACCGGGACAGAATCTGGCGCCCCGACCGGGGCTAGAACCCGGTGTGCCGGTGCCGCAAGGCGGAGGATTAGCCTAGTGAGCTGCAGCGCCGGCCTCTGAACTGTTATTTCTATAAAAAGTCCTTTATAAATTATGAGTAGTCTGTAAGAAGAAGTACAAAGATGTTTCTCTCTGAATAAACGGAACTTAAACATTTTAACCTGTTGATTTGATGAGTTAATGGAGAAGTTAGGTCAGTGGTAAATTAGGACAGCATAGTTTCCGTGCCCAAAATTCCCTGAAGTTGTTGGCCTGGGTTGTCTTTTACCCGTGTAAGGACCCCATCCGTTAATGCACTTTCTTCCCAAGTGAAGTGTTCCTGAACCATCATGATTAGGGTTTGTGTTTGGGGCTGCTTTTCCAATACGGAGGGTGAATCTGTACTTGTCCTTTTTGTTTTAAAAGAACTCCTCTTTAGAAATAGGGTGGCAAGAACTCATTTATTAACTGCCTGCCGCGTGGCAGATGCCAGGCCGTGCAGTTCATCCGTGTTGTCCGTGCGATGTGGGTATGGTTAGCTCCATTCTTCACGGAGGTGAGTGACTGGTGCGATTTCAGGTCACACAGCTGCTGCGTGGTGACGCAGGAGGCTGGCTGGCAGTGGAGAACTGGGTGGGCGTCTGCAGAATGGGTTGCAGGCCCGCTGACTGCATCTGAGCTCTGGGCGTTAGCACCCTGGGAGGTCTTGGGAGGCCCAGGGCGCAGGAGAGCCGCTGCTGAACAGACACTTCTTGGGTGAGGAAGTGCACTCCCGTCCCGGACAGGTGGACAGGTGACCTTTTGGTTCCTAAGTGGGGTCTGAGCAGGATTGCTTCATCCTTAATAGTCTCACTGCTGTCTACCAGGGTTGTAAGTTTTGAAAACAAATCGCGGTTGTAATTTGAAACACACAAGCTAGGAAACCTGAATGAAAAAATAGCATTAGCCCCAGTGTGTCATTATTTCACTACCCACATTATTCTCTTGGCTAGAGAAAAGCCTGTAAACTTAAGGGCGAAACATTTACATCTCAAAGTAAGAAGAACGTTGTGTGCATTGGCAGAACCTTCCCCTCTCCCTTTTCCCGGAGTCTGTTTTACCTTTCTTAGGTTATATCTTTCTAAATCTCACTTTGTGAGATAATTCATACGTACACACAAGAATGTTGTATGGGCCCTCTGCCAGCATTTGCTTTGAGATCTTTTGTCCCCCCACCCATGTTTGTTTCTTTTTGCCTGTTTGAAAGAGTAACAGACAGAGTGTTGGTTTGCTGATTGATTTCCTAAATGCCTGGAGTAGCTCCAGTTAGACCAGGCTGAAGCCTAGAACTCCATCCTTGTCTCCTACGGGGGTGTCAGGGACCCGAGGGCATCGTCTCCTGCCTCCTGGGATGCCTGAGTAGGAAGCTGGATCTTGAACCAGTGTCTGAGATGGGATGCGGGTGTCCCAAGTGGCGGCTTCCCCGGGGTCACAGTGCAACATTGCAGATAAGATGAGTGAATCGCAGAGGGAAGACCTCTCTGCCTCTGCCTCTGCCTCTGCCTCTGCCTCGCTGAAGCTCTGCCTTTCTAATAAATAAGGTCTTTAAAAAAATGATGAAAGCCTTGATTTTAACCCCAGCAATAACCACCATGAATTTAGTGTTTATTATTCTCATGCTGTGCTATTTCTTTTTTATAGTCTTTTGTGTTTTAAGTGTTCGTTCCATTTGAAAGGCACAGCACAGAGAGATCTGTCACTGATTCACTCCCCTAGTGCCCGCAAACGCCAGGAGCTGGCTGGGAAGAAGCCAGGAACTCAGTCTGAGTCTCCCATGCGGTGGTAGGGACCCAACCATCTGAGGCATCGCCTGCTGCCTCCCAGGGTGCACGCTGGCTGGAAGCTGGACTGGGAAGCAGAGCGGGACTTGAAGCCAGGCGCTCCTGCGGCCCAGGCAGCATCCTAGTAAGCGTGCCGAGCATCGGTCCCGTCTGCTGAATTGTTAAGGTGTTTGACAGGATGAAACTCGGCACTGAAAGTCCAGGTTATCATTGTCACTTAAAAGCTGCTACCCCTCGGGGGCCGGCGCTGTGGCATAGTGGGTAAAGCCGCTGCCTGCAGTGCTGGCATCCCATATGGGTGCGAGTTTGAGTCCCGGCTGCTCTGCTTCTGATCCAGCTCTCTGCTGTGGCCTGGGATAGCAGTGGAAGATGGCCCAAGTCCTTGGGCCCCTGCACTCGCATGGGAGACCTGGAAGAAGTTTCTGGCTCCTGGGTTTGGATTGGCCAGTTGGGGAGTGAGCCAGTGGATGGAAGACCTCTCTCTCTCTCACTTTTTCTCTCCCCCACTCTCTCTCTCCACATACACACACTCTCTGTCTCTCCTCTCCTGTCATCTCTCTCTGACTTTCAAATAAATAAATAAATCCTTTAAAAAAAAAGTTGGTACCCCTCGCTCATGCATTATTGTCTGAATTACCAAAGATATTCCAGCACTTGAGCAGGTTTGCTGCTTGCCTAAAAGCCTGTGAGTGTGAGTTCGACTTCAGAGTTGCAGACGTAAGTGAACAGTGAGGCACCACTGAAAACACTCTCTCCGTGCGGGCGTTAGGTGGTCCCCCAAATTGTGTCCAGAGCAGAGGCTTAGGAGCCTGTGATTGTGAACTGCTGGCTCTTGTGAGCAGGCAGGGGTTTCACGTGTGCTGGCTCTTTGGCCTGCTTTTCTTTTCTTTTTCTTTTTCTTTTTTTTTTTTTTTTTTAAGATTTATTTTATTTAGTTGAAAGACACAGTTACAGAGAGTGGTAGAGACAGACAGAGAGGTCTTCCATCCATTGGCTCACTCTCCAGATGGCCGCAACGACCAGAGCTGCGCTGATCCGAAGCCAGGAGCCAGGAGCTTCTTCCCGGTCTCCCACGCAGGTGCAGGGGCCCAAGCTCTTGGGCCACCTTCTGCTGCTTTCCCAGGCCCTAGCAGAGAGCTGGATCGGAAGAGAAGCAGCTGGGACTAGCACCAGTGCCCATATGGGATGCTGGTGCTTCAGGCCAGGGCTTTACCCGCTGCGCCAAAGCACCGGCCCCTCTTCGGCCTGTTTTGAAAATTACTTATGTTTGGGTTGCATATTCACTTACCACATCAGGTGGAGCACAAGCAGAACTCCCTGGGTGAGTCCTGGTCAGCCGCTGTGGGGTGCTCCGCCTGACCGCCTGCTGCCCACCCCACCCCACAGTGCAGAGAAGCGGTTCTTCTGGTGACGCTGGTGTGTGGTGGTGGCGGGGGCAGTCACCTCCTGCTGACTGTGCTGCTGTGACCCCTGCCCTTCTCCCTGCAGTCGCTGCTCTGTGTGTGTGTGACCTGTCCCCAGCACAGTGTGACGTCAACTGCTGCTGTGATCCCGACTGCAGCTCCACGGATGTTAGCGTCTTTTCTGCCTGTTCAGTTCCAGTTGTCACGTAAGTCTATGACACGTGCAGGTTTGACAAGATTTGACCAGGAAAATAAAATTTGGGGAAAGTGAAAACTTCCCCAGACTGGAAAACCCAAACCTGATTTCCTATAGTTTTCACCATTCAGAAGCTGTGTTGTCCAAAGCAAGATGTAAATGAGTAGCTTTCTCTTATTTGCATCCAGCCAGAGAGTACAGGCAAAAAAGAGAGTGAAATCTAAGGAGTATGATGAGATCTCTCAGTGTTTGGAGGTAGTCATACTCCAGTTTGACTTTTTCATATTAGTGAATTAGTCTCGTGTGTAATACAGGCTGACAATTGTAGTTTATACCTTTTTTTAAAAAGATTTATTTTAATTATTTGAAAGGCAGAGTTACAAAGAGAGGGAGAGACACACAGAGAGACCTTCCATCTGCTGGTTTACTCCCCATATGGCTGCAATGGCCAGGTCTGGGTCAGGCCAAAGCCAGGAGCTCCAAGCTTCTTCTGGGTCTCCCATGTGGGTGCAGGAGCCCAAGCACTTGGGCCATCCTCCACTGCCTTCCCGGGCCACAGCAGAGAGCTGGCCTGGAAGAGGGGCAACCGGGACAGAATCCGGCGCCCCGACCGGGACTAAAACCCGGTGTGCCGGCGCCGCTAGGTGGAGGATTAGCCTAGTGAGCCGCGGCGCCAGCCCTCAAATAAATAAATATTAACAAAACAAAAAACAACCAACACTTGGAAAAGATTTATTCAGGGTAGGATCAATTCATTATTCAGAGAAAGCTAATTTAATTTAACTTGATAGTTTTAGCAATTTATACTTGGCTGATTGAACCCTTTATAAATTTTTAAATGTGTTTCTCATTGTATTTGAAAGGTGGAGAAAGATCTTGCATCTATTGGTTGACTCCCCAAAGGCCCACAACAGCCAGGGCTGGGCCAGGCTGAAGGCAGGAGCCAGGATCTCAATCCAGGTCTCTCATTTGAGTGGCAGGGACCTAAGTGCTTGAGTTGTCGTCTTTGCCTCCCCAGGTGCATGTTAGCAGGAAGCTGGATTGGACCCAGGTGCTCTGATATGGGATGCAGATGTGCCAAGTGGAATGCCCCAAATGCCTGCCACCCCTGGCCTTGAGTGAATCCTTTTTAAAAGTATAATGGGTTGGGGCCGGCGCTGTGGCGCAGCAGGTTAAAGCCCTGGCCTGAATTGCCGGCATCCCATATGGGCACCGGTTCTAGTCCTGACTTCTACTCTTCCGATCCAGGTCTCTGCTATGACCTGGGAAAGCAGTGGAAGATGGGCTAAGTCTTTGGGCCCCTGCACCCAGGTGGGAGACCTGGAAAAAGCCTGGCCTAGCTCCTGGCTTTGGATCAGCGCAACTCTGGCCGTTGTGGCCGTTTGGGGAGTGAACCAGTGGATGGAAGATATCTCTCTCTCTCTCTCTCTCTCTCTCTCTGCCTCACCTCTATCTGTGTAACTAACTTTCAAGTAAATAAATATATCTTTAAAAAAAAAGTATAATGGGTTTTATTCTGTTAGGATCTTTTTTTTTTTTGACCATTGGGAAATCAAACCTATTTTTAATATTGTAAAAACTGTTGAAGAATGGGTTGTTGCAATTAGGTTAATTTTCTTCTGGCTACTTGGACTACAGCTTGAGTCTATTGAAAATCATTCTGCTTGGGGCAGGTAAAGCTGCCTCCTGTGAGGCCAGCATCCCCTGTGGGCGCTGGTTCAAGTCCTGGCTGCTCCACTTATTTTTTTTTCTAAAAAAGATTTATTTATTTATTTGAAAGGCAGAGTTACAAAGAGGCAGAGAGAGTGGGGGTCTTCCATCTGCTGGTTCATTCCCCAAATGGCCACCAGGAGCCAGGAGGAGCTGGCAGGACTTGAACTGGTGCCCATATGGGATGCCGGCCACAATACCAGCCCCTACTCCACTTCCAATCCAGCTCTGCTATGGCCTGAGGAGGCAGAGGAAGATGGCCAAAGTCCTTGGGCCCCTGCACCCACATGGGAGACGTGGATGAAGCTCCTAGCTTCAGCCTGGCCTAGCCCTGGCCATTATGGTCATTTAGGGAGTGAACCAGTGGCTGGAATAGCTATCTCTGACTCTCCCTCTCTTACTCTGTAACTTTGCCTTTCAAATAATATAAATAAATCTTAAAAAAAAAAAAAAAGTAAGGGGCTGGCACTGTGGCATGGCGGGTAAAGCTGCTGTCTGTGCTGGCATCCCAGATGAGTGCTAGTTCAAGTCCCAGCTGCTCCACTTCTGATCCAGCTGTCTGCTAATGGCCTGAGAAAGCAGTGGAAAATGACCCAAGTGCTTGGGCCCCTGCATCCACGTGGAAAACCTGGAAGAAGGTCCTGGCTCCTGGCCTTGGATTGACCTGGTTCCGGCTGTTGCAGCCATTTGGGGAGTGAACCAGCGGATGGAAGATCGATCTCTCTCTCTGCCTCTGCCTCTGCCTCTCTGTAGCTCTGCCTTTCAAATAAATAAATAAATCTCAAAAAAAAAAAAAAATCATTCTGTTCAACCTGGATGTGCAGGCATCTGGGGCGTGGACCAACAGATGGAAGGTCTCTCTGTCTTTTTTCCTCTGTTGCTCTGCCTTTCAATCTGATTTTTTTGTTTAAATTTTTCTGCTCCTGCCTCCATAAGTACAGAGGCTTGAGTGTAGGATTTCTGCTCCAATTTGGGACCATTTTTTAGATTATATCTTTTATTAATCTGTATGGTATTTTAGAACAGACTGTTTAGAACGAGGGTCAGTGAACTTTCCATGCAGGGCTGGATAGTATTCTAAGCGTCACAGGCCGCTGTGGGTCTCTGTAGCTAGAACTGTGAGTGGGTTGACTGTGTTCCAGCAAAAGAGCTCTCAGCAAAGGACCTCACTTTTTTTTTTTTTTTTAAGATCTTTATTAACAGGTGCTTCAGTTTGTTGACTTGTTTGAAACTATCAAGTTGTAGACTTTTATTCCAAATTAAAAGTCAGTTTTTTTAAGAAAACTTTTTTATGTGTTTGCTTATTTTAAAGAGAGAGAGGAAGAGACACAGAGAGGCTCGTTCACTCTCCAAAAACTGCAGTGGCTGGGGCTGGGCCAGGCTGAAGGCAGGAGCCTGGAACTCCATCTGGGTCTCCCATGTTGGTGGCAGCATCCCAGGCCCTTGGGCCATCTTCCGCTGCTTCCCCAGGCACATCAGCAGAGAACTGGATCGGAAGTGCAGCTGCCAGCACCCATATGGGATGCCATCCTCCCCACCAGAACGCCGGCCTCAAGTCAATTTCTTAAAATCTTCACTTGACCAGTTATGAAATAGTTTTAAAATCTTTTTAAAGGTATCTCGAGAAAAACAGACTTCAAAAAAAAAATACATGTTAATCATTACCAAAAAGAGAAGTGTTCAGGTAAAAAAAATTAACCGAATACTGCATAGACAAAGCGGAGTTCTAGTAACTGGTCAGTGGGAAAAAAGCAAGTACTGAGTTCTTTAGCTCCATTGTAGGTTTTGGAGTTTTTCTTGTGACTTTTTCCTACAACCACAATTTAAATTCTAATTGAGATTTCTTTTCTAAGATTTTTTTTAACTGAAAGAGTGACAGAACTAATTTTTTTTTTTAAAAATTCATCTTATTTTTTGAAAGGCAGAGTTACTGGAGCAGGGGTTGGGGTAAGAGCGCTTGAGAGAGAGAAATTTTCCATTGTTCACTCTGCAAATGGCTGCAATAATTGGGGCTGGGCCAGGCCGAAGCTGGGAGCTTCATCCTGGTCTCTCACGTGAGTACAGGGGCCCAAGCACTTGGGCCATCGTCTGCTTTCCCAGGCTCCTTAGCAGGGAGCTGGATCAGAAGTGGAACACCAGGCTGTAAACCGCATCTGTGTGGGATGCTGGCGCTGCAGGCAGTGTCTTAATCTGCTGTGCTGCAACACATGCCCTAGAGAGATTTATCCATTGGTCACTCCCCAAATGGCCCCAGCAGACTGCACTGCGACAGGCTGAAACCAGGAGCTCCATCCAGATCTCCCACCTGGTAGCAGGAACTCAAGGACTTGAGCTGTCACCAACTAGCTCCTAGGTGCATCAGCAGGAAGTAAAGTAGCAGGGACCTGAACCTGGCACTCTGCTGTGGGGTGGGGGCATCCCAGGCAGCAGCTTAATCTCCTGCAGCACAATGCCCACCCCGAGGGTTCTTGTTATGTACATTTGTTAAACTCTTAGCAACCAGTCCTATGGTGTCGTACATTTGTTGGTCATTAGATGAGAACTTCATGGGCACAAGGACCACCAGTGTCCAGCACAGCTCCTGCCACACAGTTGGCCCTCATTTAACATCCTGACTGATTCACTTCCTCTCCCACCCACCTTCCAGGCAGCAACCAGCCACGACCTGGAGAGCCCTGGCTTCTGCATCTCCCTGGCCTTCTCTGCCTTAGAATCTTTACTCCTCCCCAGGCCTTTCTCGAGCACTTTCTATATGCTGGCACCAGGGATGAGTTCAACCGGAGCCTGCCTTCAGTGAGTCAGGGAGACAGGGGAGTGCATGGTCGATTCTGCACCGAGCTGCCTCTGGCTCGGACACCCAGGCTAGGGGAGGCTTTCGAGAAGAGACGATCTGAGCTGAGCAGCTCCCAAAGGACAAGTAGAAGGTGGCCAGCGTGGCATCAGGGAAGGCGTTCAGGTTGAGGGAGCCTTGTAGGCTAAATCCTGGTGTGATGGAATATGGCCTGTATGCTTGCCTGTAGGTAACTGAGGCCTCGTGTGTGTGTGTGTGTGTGTGTGTGGCCTCGCGTGTGCACAGGAGTGCACTGAGGGGTTTGGACTTTGTCCTGAAGTCCTCAAGAGGAGGGGGCACGAGAGGGTCAGATTCTCATCTTGTGTAATTCTGCAGCACACACACACACACACACACACACACACGGCAGATTATTACAGAGGGGCCTGGGAAGGCAGGGCCCAGGAGGAAGCCATTGCAGGTGAGGACTAAGTGGGTGCCCCACCTCCTCTGGAGGCTGTGACAGTGGACTGTGGGACTGCCACCGAGATGCTGCACAGGGTTGGAGAGCTGGCTGACCACAGGGCAGTTTCCTTCACTGCATCTCCTGGGTTTGTCCGGTCCTGGTCCCTTCTACTTGATAAGTGTCACAGCTCATCTTGTCGCTTGCTCAAAACCTTCAGTCGCCCTCTCTCCCTGTAGACTTGCTGCTTCAACTTCGGGTCTTGTTTCCTGTCCATTCCTACCTTGAACCCTTTGCTACAGCCCAGCCTTGGCACTCAGCATTTCCCAGAGACCGGATCGAAAGTGGAGCAGCTGGGTCTCGAACCAGAGGCCATATGGGATGCCGTCGTTTCAGGCCAGGGCATTAACCCGCTGTGCCACAGCGCCGGTCCCACTTTTTTTTTTTTAAGATTTATTTTATTTGAAAGGCAGAGTTACAGAGAGAGGTAGAGGTAGAGATAGAGAGAGGTCTTCTATCCACTGGTTCACTCCCAAGATGGCTGCAAGGGCTGGAGCTGTGCCAATCTGAAGTCTAGGAGCCAGAAGCTTCTTCCAGGTCTCCCACAAGGGTGCAGGGGCTCAAGGACTTGGGCCATCTTCTTCTGCTTTCCCAGGCCATAGCAGAGAGCTGGATCGGAAGTGGAGCAGCCGGGATTAGAACCGGTGCCCATATGGGATGCCAGCGCTTCAGGCCAGGGCTTTAACCCGCTGTGCCACAGCACCAGCCTCCATTCTTACCTTTTTTTTTCTTTTTTTTTGACAGGCAGAGTGGACAGTGAGAGAGAGAGACAGAGAGAAAGGTCTTCCTTTGCCGTTGGTTCACCCTCCAATGGCCGCCGCGGCCGGCGCACCGTGCTGATCCGATGGCAGGAGCCAGGTGCTTCTCCTGGTCTCCCATGGGGTGCAGGGCCCAAGCACTTGGGCCATCCTCCACTGCACTCCCTGGCCACAGCAGAGAGCTGGCCTGGAAGAGGGGCAACCGGGACAGAATCCGGCGCCCTGACCGGGACTAGAACCTGGTGTGCCGGCGCCGCAAGGCAGAGGATTAGCCTAGTGAGCCGCGGTGCCGGCCATTCTTACCTTTTGATTCAGCAACTCTACTTCAGGAAGTAGCATATCCTGAGGAAATAATTGGAGACATTTATAAAGATGTTTGTATAAGGAGGTCATTATAACATTATGTCATTATAACGTTATGTGGGGAAAATTAAAAACAACCTAAACCAGCAGTAGCGGATTGCTTGAACATGTTGGGTGAATAAGCTGGTATATGATGAAGCCATTTAATATAATATTGCAAAAACATGTTTGATGACCTGGGAAATAATTTGGCATTATTAAATGAGAAAGGACTTAAAGCAGTTTGTAGAATATGATTCCATTTCTTCCATGACTCTTCTCCGTACCATGTCTGTATCTATTCAGTTGATTATAGTTTGTGAGATCTAGGATTGGTTGAGGACTTGACTGTACCCTAACTTCTAAGCCCTAAACCTTCCAAATGACTTCACATTTTGTTCCCACAATCCTTTGAAGACAGCTTTATTCTAGACAAGGAGTTTTTGGTTTGTTTGGGTACAAACAGTTGCACAAAAAATTTGTGTAGTTGATTTTTTCAAAGTCTAATGGTTCATTATACCCTTATCTGTATTTTATACTTGACAAGAGCTCCTTAAAGGTTATCATATTTATCTTGATTTTTTTTTTTGTTAGAGAAAAGTTTCAAATGCCAAACACTTCAACACTTAAGAAATTAAATAGAAATGGACCGGAGAGGGCGTTTAGCCTCGCAGTTAGGACTCCGGACACTGGTATCCGTGACAGAGGACCCGTTCAAATCCCTGGCTGCAGCTTCTGACCCAGCCTCCTGCTGATGCACACTCTGGGCGGCAGCAGTGATGGCTCCAGTCCCTGGGTCCCTGTGACCCACGTAGGAGACCTGGGTGGAGCTCCTGCCTTGGGCATTTTGGCCATTTGGGGAGTGATCTGCAGATGAGAGTTCTGTCTCTCTGAATCTCAAATAAATTAAAAAATGAATTCTGGTGGTGCCGCGACTCAATAGGCTAATCCTCCGCCTGTGGCGCCGGGACACCGGGTTCTAGTCCTGGTCAGGGCGCCGGATTCTGTCCCAGTTGCTCCTCTTCCAGGCCAGCTCTCTGCTGTGGCCCGGGAGGGCAGCAGAGGATGACCCAAGTGCTTGGGCCCTGCACCCGCATGGGAGACCAGGAGAAGCACCTGGCTCCTAGCTTCGGATCAGTGCGCTGGCTGCAGCGGCCATTGGAGGGTGAACCAATGGAAAAAGGAAGACCTTTCTCTGTCTCTCTCACTGTCCACTCTGCCTGTCCAAAAAAAAAAAAAAAAAAATTCCAAGCTGTTTTCTTTTTTTTTTTTTTTATTTATTTTTTTGACAGGCAGAGTGGACAGTGAGAGTAGAGACAGAGAGAAAGGTCTTCCTTTGCCGTTGGTTCACCCTCCAATGGCCGCCGTGGCTGTGGCTGGCGTACCACACTGATCCAAAGGCAGGAGCCAGGTGCTTCTCCTGGTCTCCCATGGGGTGCAGGGCCCAAGCACTTGGGCCATCCTCCACTGCACTCCCAGGCCCTAGTAGAGAGCTGACCTGGAAGAGGGGCAACCAGGACAGAATCCGGTGCCCCGACTGGGACTAGAACCCAGTGTGCCGGTGCCGCAAGGTGGAGGATTAGCCTATTGAGCCATGGCGCCGGCCCCAAGCTGTTTTCATAACTACCCTCCCTATAACTGTTAACGTAGGACAGTGCAAGCATGACACTTAAATAATTGTGCTGAGATTGTGTGCTCATGCCTTCACACTTGATGTTGTTATATTTAATTTTCAGGGGTGATAGCCAGTTTTGTAGTCAAAAGGCAGCCATCTATTCCTTGAATTTTACCTCAAACCCACCTCAGAGGATATTTAAACTTGTCGACCAGGTCAATCCATCTATTTTCTGCGTTCATATTACAAACTGTAAGTATTTGGATTGATGCATTTTGTGAAACTCTGGAATATAGTTCTTTCAAAGTTATGTTATGGAAAAATATCTTGCTCTTTTAGATTAAAGCAACCGTGTGGGTAGAATGTGTACCTTCTGAGGCTATTCCACAGTTATCTGCAAGTAACTTGTAGAGCTTTGGGCACCATGTTTTCTTTAAAAGTGACTGTGCTTGTTAGTTGTCTCTGGAAATTTTTTGCTTAATTTCAAACATGTTTATAATATGTGGACATAGGTACATGGAATCTGGATTTAATATGTATACATGTGATTTTCTTTTTTTCACTTTATTTCTTCCTGGTGTAATGGGTGAAAATTAGGTTCAGCTTTGAACAGTACCTGTGGTTTCTATTTCCTTTTTCTTTTTTATTTTTACTAAGAATATTTGCATGAAAACAGGATCTTTATTTTTATCTGAGCATTTAGCTCAGAGAAGGTCTAAATCCTGAGTACATGTGAGAGTAAAATGTTACCAAGGCGTCAGAGCCCGGAGACACAGCTGCGGCTTTATCAGTTAAATTCTGTCTTTTTGGAATGTCTGTGTGTATTTTGGTTTGTCCCCCTGTGACTGAAAACTTACATGAATGCTCGGCGATTTTTCGTCTGGATTGATGACTAGCCAGTGAGGGTCAGTGTCTCTGCATCACGCCAGTCTGGTGAACGTACCAGCCCGTTCCCTGCTCCTGGCTCCTCTGTGTGTAGCACTCTGGGCCAGCTGCCCCGTGGAGTTGCTGCAGAGCCTCACGCCCGTGGGCTCCAGAGGAGTTAGCTCTTGTGCTGTGATCTATCTTGTAGGACTGGAATCCATTGCTTCCCCCTCGTTCCAGAAGCAGGCTGAGCCCAGGGCCCCTGTTTATTTGAAAGGCTTCAAGAAATCCTGGGAGGAGTGAACATGGAAGAAAACACTATTTTTTCACATTAACCTTAATGCTCATAAAAACAAAATATTGTAGATGTCGTATATAATATACACATTTTGAGCTGATTTAAAATACTTTTTCTAAAACCAGATAAACCTGCATTATCTTTTATTGACCCGGGAGTGCCTGATGAAAGCAATTTTGATGAACTGGTGAAGACATCCACTGGTTTTACATTGAACACAGAATCAGATGCTGCTCTCGCCCCCAAACTGGATGCCCCCAGTACTGCTAAATATGAGGTGAGCCAAGTCCTTAACGAACCTGCTCTTCCTGTCCTTGTAAGTTCGTTTTCAGTGTTACAGCAAAGCTGACTTCCCAAGACACACATTGACACTATAGACTAGACTTCTGGTTTGTGCCTACAGATCAAAGACGGTGAAACTAACCGTGCTTTGCAGAGGCCTAGCAGTTAAGACATCCGTATTCCATATTGGAGTTCCTGGGTTTGCTACTCGGCTCTGGCTCAAGTTCCTGGCATTTGAGGAGTGAACCAGGGGCTGGGAGCTCTGTTTCTCTTTGTCTGTCTCTGCCTCTCAAATAAACAAATAAAAATATTTTTAGAAGTTGAGAATTTGCATTCTGAACATTGGATTCAGAGTCATTTATTCTGTGGTGTTTGTGTTTCGTCCACAGAACTCTGTCCTTTCAGCATTAAAAGCTGTGCTGCTGCTGGGTGTGTGTGTGTGTGTGGGGGGGGTGCCTGGTCTTCTCACAGGTGTATTTAGTTTTCTGAATCGTGGGAAAATAGGTGCTATTTTTATATCACTTCATTAATCTTAAAAATGTGACACAAATTAACTTTGAGTACTTTTTCAGAAGCTTAAAAAGAATAAAAGCGGCTGGCGCCGCGGCTCACTAGGCTAATCCTCCGCCCTGCGGTGCCAGCACCCCGGGTTCTAGTCCTGGTTGGGGCGCCGGATTCTGTCCCGGTTGCCCCTCTTCCAGGCCAGCTCTCTGCTGTGGCCAGGGAGTGCAGCGGAGGATGGCCCAAGTGCTTGGGCCCTGCACCCCATGGGAGACCAGGAGGAAGCACCTGGCTCCTGGCTTTGGATCAGCTCAGTGTGCCAGCTGCAGCGTGCTGACAGAGCAGCCATTAGGGGGGTGAACCAACAGAGAGGGAGAACCTTTCTCTCTGTCTCTCTCTCTCACTGTCCACTCTGCCTGTCAAAAAAAAAAAAAAAAAAAAAAAAGAATAAAAGCAATATTTACAAGTTCTAAAATTTAAAAGTGTGGGGATAAATCAGTAAAAACTGAAAGCCTGCATTTCCCTTCAAACGCACACCGCGGGGGTGGGCGTCGGGTGCAGTGGTTAAGGTACCACGTGAGACACTTGCCCTTGTATTGGATGCCTGGGTGCCGCTTCCAATTCCAGTTCCCTGCTAATGTGCACCCTGAGAGGCAGCAGGACTCAAGTACTTGGGTCCCTGCCACCCATGTTGGTGACTGAGTTGAGTTCTAGACTTCTGGCCTTGGCCTGGCACAGCCCTGGCTGTTGTGGGTAATTGGGGAATGTGGATGGAAGATTTGTGTGTGTTTCTGTCTCTGTCAGTCTCTCTGCCTTTCGAATAAAATGAAGATAAATAAAAATTAGAACTAAAAACTAAAATTTCTTTAAAAAAAATCACACCACAGATCACTGTGCAAAGATGGAGTATATTCTTCCTGATTTTTAAATTTATCTATAGAATGCATACATAGTATTGTCTAGAAGTGGGATATTTAAAAAAATATTTATTTATTTATTTGAAAGGCAGAGGTGCAGAGAGAGGAGAGACAGAGAGATCCTTCATCTGCTGGTTCACTCTCCAAATGGCCACAATGACTAGGGCTGAGCAAGACCAAAGCCAGGAGTCATTAGTTTCTTCAGGGTCTCCCACATGGGTGCAGGGGCCCAATCACTTGGGCCATCTTCTGCTTTCCCAGGAGCATTAGCAGGGAGCTGGATCGGAAGTGGAGCAGCTGGGACTGGAACCAGTGCCCATATGGGATGCAAGTACTGCAGGCCATGGCTTTAACCTGCTTTGCCACAGTGCCGGCCCCTAGAAGTTGGATTTATGGTTATCCACATTGTGCTAGAACATTTCTTTTTCAAAGTGATAAATCTTGTGCACCTTCCCATGCTGTTTTTTTTATTATTACTTTTTAAAAGATTTATTTATTCATTTACTTGGAAGAGTTACACAGAGAGAGAAGGAGAGGCAGAGAGAGAGAGGTCTTCCATCTGCTGGTTCACTCCCCAAATGGCCACAATGGTGGAGCTGCGCTGATCCGAAGCCAGGAGTTTCTTCTGGTCTCCACGCGGGTAGAGGGGCCCATGGACTTGGGCCATCTTCTACTGTTTTCCCAGGCCATAACAGAGAGCTAGATTGGAAGTGGAGCAGCCAGTACTCGAACCGGTGCCCATATGGGATGCTGGCACTGCAGGCGGTGGCTTTACCCACTGTGCCACAGCATCAGCCACCCCCCCCTCCATGTTGGTGTTACAGTGAGTGTTTTGCACGTGCAGAGCTTCCCCGCCATTACCTCACACAGCTTGGAGGGACACCTCATTGTCCCCACTTACTCAGGGGAAAAGCGTGGATCCTGAAAGCGCCTTGTGGGGGCCGGTGTCAGAGCTGTGTTTACGAAGTGTTCCTTTCTGTGTGTGTGTGCTGTGCCACTCTTCATAGATTCGCTCGCAGCTTTTGCTATTATAAATAATCCACAAGGAATATCCTTGACTATATGAGAATAGTTCAAAAAACTTGAAAATTTTGAAGTCCATGTGTGGTTTTTTCATAGTATTCATTTTTCATGAACTTTGAAAAGATCCTTACGTGGATTAAAAAATTGTTTTGCATCAAAATAAACTTATCTTCTCAGTTTTCCATAAACTACTTTTTCCTCCCTCCCTCCCTCCCTCCCTCTCTCTCTCTCTTTTTTCTCTTCTCTTCTCTTCTCTTCTCTTCTCTCTCTCTCTCTCTCTCTCTCTTTTTTTTTTTTTTTTTTTTTAAGATTTATATATTTATTTGACAGAGGATGGCACAGAGATCTTCTAACCACTGGTTCATTCCCCAGATGGCTTCAACAGCCAGGGCTGAACCATGCTGAAGTCAGGAGTCAGGAGCTTCATCTGGGTCTCTTGCGTGGGTAGCAGGAGCCCAAACACTTGGGCCGTCCTCCACTGCCTTCCCAGGCCATCAGCAGGGAGTTGGATTGGGAGTGGAATAGCCTCGACACAAACTTGCCCGTATGGGGTGCTGGTGTCACGGGTCATGGCTTTGCCCACTAAGCCCCCGTAAACTACTTTTTTTTTTTTTTTTTTAAAGATTTTATTTATTTGAAAGAGAGAGTTGCAGAGAGAGGGAGAGACAGAAAGGTCTTCCATCCATTAGTCCATTCCCCAAATGGCAGCAACAGCAGGAGCTGGGTTGATCCAAAGCCAGGAACCAAGAGCTGCTTCTGGGTCTCCTGTGCTGGTCCAGGGGCCCAAGCACTTGGGCCACCTGCTGCTGCTTTCCCAGGCCATAGCAGAGAGCTGGATCGAAAATGGAGCAGCCGGGACTGGAACTGGCAGCCGTATCGGATGCCAGCACCGCAGGTGGAGGCTTAGCCCTCTAAAGCCACAGCGCTGGACTCCATAAACTACTTTCTGAAGTACCCTCGTACACATATCTTTATATATTTGTCTGATTAAATCTTTAGGCTACTTTCCTGTACATGGGTTGGCTTGGTCAAAATGAGAGGAAATTTTAAGCACTGATACCAGACTGGCATCCAGAAAGCCTGTGGTAGTTACCACGTGTGGTTCCGCTGCGTGAGAGGACTTATTCTCTCCTGCCCTTGCTGGCACGAGGCATTTGAGTAAAGTTTCAAATTCAGGAAAATTAGCTGTCTGCCCAATATCTAGGATTTGTATTTGAATATTAAGGAAGAAGATTATAGGATTTGGTTTTGGTAAGTAGGTAGGTATTCTCATAAAACATGGATTTTTAGGGGCTGGCACGCTGTGATGTAGTGGGTAAAGCCACCACCTGCAGTGCCATCATCCCATATGGGCGCTGGTTCAACTCCTGGCTGCTCCACTTTTCAATCCAGCTCTCTGCTAATTTTCCTGGGAAAGTAGTGGAAGATGGCCCAACTGCTTGTGCCCCTGCACCCATGTGGGAGACCCAGATGAAGCTCCTGGCTCAGCCTGGCCCAGTCCTAGCTGTTGTAGCCATTTGAGGAGTGAACCAGCAGATGGAAGACTTCTCTTTCTCTGCCTCTCTAACTCTGCGTTTCAAATACATAAATAAATCTTTAAGCAAAAAAAGGACTTCAAATTTTAATATGTACTCTGTTATTTAAATAATTATTGTCAATGGAAAATAATTACTTTTCTCCACCTTGTGCCTAGCCACCCGATTCTTGTCTGTAAAGGCACTGACGTCAGCTTCTTATACCCTTCTAGAGGGATTCCATAGTGAAAAAGCTTATGATTACAGAGACCTGCACACGCTGGCAGCTGGATGTCGGCCATCTGGGCACAGACCATGGATCACTTCTGTGTTTGCCTTGCATCTTGTCCCTTATGTCTGTGATGCTGCCTGGCATGCAGTAAGTGCCCTATGAATGCTGTTGAATTCCTTTAATAACACCACAGCTGCTGCTGGTTATTGTGTTCGCAGTACGGGGCTCCTGTGCAGACTTCAGACTCCTTCCTGAGACTCCCTTCCCCGCTGACGTCGTCTGTGTGCGCTGACAGCAACCCCGCAGGTGAGAGAGTGGCCGTTCTCCTCGCTCCCTGTACACAGAGCGAGCCGATTCTAGCCAATCAGGCTTTGTAAGTGAAGACTCAGAGGATCTTTGGGTTGCAAGAGGCTTTGAAGGTCATGTGGTTTGATTTTGCATCCAGTGCTGGAATTTTTCCTACTACATACAGTCGGTGCTTGGGCACTTGCAGAGGTGGTCAGTTCACTATCTGAAAACAGTCCACGTGAATGTTTAACACTCCCCGTTTTGGGGAAGTTGTTTTTTTTTTTTTTTTTACAGGCAGAGTGGACAGTGAGAGAGAGAGACAGAGAGAAAGGTCTTCCTTGGCCGTTGGTTCACCTTCCAATGGCCGCCGCGGCCAGCGTACCACGCTGATCCGAAGCCAGGAGCCAGGTGCTTCTCCTGGTTTCCCATGGGGTGCAGGGCCCAAGCACTTGGGCCATCCTCCACTGCACTCCCGGGCCGCAGCAGAGAGCTGGCCTGGAAGAGGGGCAACCAGGACAGAATCCGGTGCCCCAACCGGGACTAGAACCTGGGGTGCTGGTGCCGCAAGGCGGAGGATTAGCCTAGTGAGCTGCGGCGCTGGCCGGGGAAGTTCTAACAGTTATCAGTCACCACCATTTACTGTGGTAAGAGCTTGCATGTGTTTTTCTGTTTGACCTTCACAGTAATCATTTGAGGTCAGGTTAGTATGTCCCTTTTTTACTTTTTAAGAATCTATTTATTTTTGTTTGAAAGGCAGGGAGACAGGCAGAGGTCTTCCATCTACCCTTTCACTCCCCAAATAACCAGGGCCAGGCCAGGTTCTCCCATGTGGGTGTCAGCGACCCAACTACTTCCCAGGGTGCACACTAGCAGGAAGCTGGAATTGGAAGCGAAGCCAGGACTCGAACGTGGGCACTCTAATACGGGATACAGGTGTCCCAGTGATATCTTAGCTGCTCTGCCAAACTCTTGCCCCAGAGTCTCCATTTTTTAGGTGAGGAAACTAAGAGTTTTGTGGTTTCTGACTTGAAATCACTCGGGGTGGAGCAGAGCAGAACCTGTGCAGCCAGCTGGAGCCCACATGCCCCTGCACTCCCTGCCTCCCAGCCTGCTTCTCCTCTAACTCTGTACACACTAGGGACAGTGTAACCTGAAACCAAACCTAGATACCACTTTCACCTATCTGATGAGCAGTGCTCACCAATGTGAGGCTGCAGGAAAATAGGCACCCACCTGCATAGCTGGCAGGGCTGTAAGCTGGTGCAGCCTCTGTGCAGGGCCGCTCAGCCAAATCCGGCAGAATTACAGACGGATGTGCCGTTCAGCCAGGACTCGGTTCTGCAGAGGAGATAATAGACTGCAGAGAGCAAAGATAGAGACAACTTCAGTATTAGCTCCACTAATAGGGAGCTAATGGAGTGATTGTGCCACATCTCTAATCGAATATTATGACTTCAGAGGGAAGAGGAAGTTCTTCATGTACTGAGATAGAATGATCTGCAAGTACGTTGTTCAGGAAAGAAAGGAGGGACAGAGGGCGTGCGTTTCATGCGTTTGTTGCCCACTTTTTAGACATACGTATTTACTTGTATTTTTATAGAATGTTCCAAGAAAGACAGCACAAGGAACTTGATGCTGGTTGCCTCTGGGGAGGGGACATGAACTGGAGGGAGACTTTGCTCACTACCTTTTTGTGCCTTTTGAATCTGAATGTATTTATTACCTATTCACCTGTCTGTATTGTAACTTACTTTCCAGTTTTACCTAGGTTATAGGTTTGTGTTTTTTAAAGACTTACTTATTTTCAGAGTTAAACAGAGTGGGAGAGACACAGAGAGAGGTCTTTCATCCACTGGTTCACTCCCTGGATGGCCACAACAGCCAGCACTGGGCCAGGCTTAAGGAAGGAGCCAGAATCTTCGCCTAGATCTCCCATGTGGATGCAGGGGCCCGAGCATCCACATTGGGCCATTTTCCACTGCTTTCCCAGGCCATTAGCAGGGAGCTGGATTGGAAGTGGAGCAGCCAGGACATAAACCCATGCCCATATGGCATGCCAGTGTTGCAGGCAGTGGCTTTACCCACTGTGCCATAATACCAGCCCCCATAGATTATAGTTTTTTTTAAATTACCATTGAAGAGTTGAAATTTTTCTTTTCTTTTGTCTTTTTTTCCCTTGGGAATGTTATGATTGCCAGCGTTTCTGGTGAACCAGGCTGTTAAGTGTACCAGAAGGGTAAATTTAGAGCGATGTGAGGACACGGAAGCTCTTAACATGATTTACTACAGCAGCCCCCAAATTCTGCAGGTGAGCACTGCAGTGACCTGATGGCTTAGCTCTGTTTTCTGTTCCTCGTACTCTTAAAATGTGACAACCATTGAATATTTCAGCATATGACTGACAACTGGGTTTCAATTTTTCTTCTCCAATAAAATTTGATATTAGTGATTATTGAAATAATTCTTTAGGTGATTTTTATTTTTATAGTTTTCTTACATTATGCTTTCATTCATTTTCTTCTTTCATTCACTTTGACTGTAACCAGTAATGTTTATCTCTTAATTTAAAAAAATTAAAAACTTTAATCGTAAACATATTTTAGTGTCTGTGACAGAAATAACCATATTAGCACCAGGAGAGAGAGCAGATGAAACAGGCAGCCAGGCAGGACAGGAAGTGGAATTTCTGGAGAAGGGAGAAGAGGCCGTCGTCTCTGGTGGCAGCGAGCAAAGCCGCAGTTGGTGGATGAGGGAGGCCGGTGGTGCAGTCTGTAGTCAGGATGAGAGGGAGGGTGCAGGGAGAAGACTTTTCCAGTGGTTGTGGAACATGTGACTGCTTCCTCTGCCCACCTGAGTGGGCAGGGGAGTGTGGGGGTGGGGTGGTCCATGGCCCCATTATTCATCTGGGTGTTAGTTTTTAGAATGAAGTTTAACCTTTTCTACCTACTCCCCCGCCGTCTCTTGTAATCAGCCCTCCAGGCCTTGGTCTTCTCGCACTTGTCCGGGCTAGTCTCTTGGGCAGCCAGGTGTAGGTTCTTTTCTGTGCAAGCCTCAGCAAACATGTCTGTTCATCCCCCCGTTAAGCTGCCAGTGGCTTAAGAGGGTGTCTTGTAACAAGATTGGAAGAGATGGGGGACAGGAATTGGAAGTTAGGCCTTCAGAAAGAGAGCTCTGGCTAGACTGGGAGATGGGAGTGTGGCAACCAAGGGGCTCGGGCTGGTGGCAGGAAATTGCCTGGGCAAGCAGTAGTGCCTTCCAGGGAGGGCAGGCACCGTGCCTTCCTCACGGTGCTGTTGCCAGTCACTGCCGTGTGGGAACACACAGGAATGACCCTGGGGCCTACCGACGCTGAGACCACTCTCCGAGCTGGCCTACTGAGCTTCCCCTCGGAGGGAATGAATGTAGGAGAAGGCAATGCAGATTTGTAGATCTCAAATCTGGATTCTGAATTTCTGTTTTCCTCTTTGTGAATGCTTTAATGGAATGAATATGCCCTTTACCCTGAAATCTGAAAAAGCAATGAAAATGCTTTCTTTTGTTGAACTTAACAAAATTTGTCATGCTTTTTTTTTTGTCTAGGTGCCTAATTCAAGAACCAAGGTAAGAATATCCGTTAATGGAAAGTTAGTTTTAATACACTGCCTTATTTCTGATAAGATGGGCGCCTTGTTGTCAGTCACAAGGACATTTCCCACAAAGCAAGCAGAAGCGAGACAGGGAAGCGGCTTAGCGGCTGACCTTGGGATCATGGGGGAGGTTTTCTCACTCCTTCATGTCGGTGGCTCCACACTGTCTCTGGGTGACCGATGGGGGTGTTAGGTCCTGGGCGCGAACACGTTTGAGGGAGACGTCTGGAAAGCAGCGGTGACTTTGGGTCTTCGGCTGCTCTGTGCGGCCTGCATCCCTCACCTGCGGAGCTCCTCCCGCTAGTGCGGTCCCGGACAGAGCTGTGCTGGTCGAAGCCGGGTAGGACTGGAAGTCTCCTGTGCCTGGCCTCTCCTGTGTTTTCTTTGGTCCCTCTCAGGAATCCTAGAACGTCCAGGAGCCCAGTTTAAATGTCACATCCCTCCAACTGCTATGATTCAACCTTGGTAGACTTGAATCACCTGTGGGGGCAGCCCCACGCCCCGCCTGCACATGGTGTATCCTCGGTTCAGAGCAGCCCGGGTGTGTGTTGGGCGCACGCGTTGAGTGAATGGCGGGAGGTTGGTTCAGTCAAGTTGGGAAGGGGGAGGTCACTGAGAGGCAGGGAGTGGGTGCCAGCAGTGTGCTGAGTGTGGAACACTCCTGAAGTCCTTGACTCCAGTCAGCTGTCCCAGGAGGCAGATCCTGTTGGATCGCTGTCTGGCAGATGAGTCTGAGAGATGAGTTAGCTTGCCCATGCTGCACAGCTGGGAGGTGGCCAGCCAGTGGGGGCTCCGGGCAGCCTGGCCTAGCGACCTTGCACTTCACTGCGACCCTGACGAGTTCCACTGAGCGACAGGCCCCACGGTACAGCTTCACACGTGTTCACAGAGGGTGGCCGCTGGGACTTCTGACTTAGGTCTCTGTGACACCAAAGCACAAGCAAGTAAAGAATTAACTGAAAAAAGAGAGAGAGGGACCTCCTGGGGTGTGTTAGGATCAGGAATACAGAAACGGGATCCGGTTTTGATGGCTCGAAATCGTTGTTGGTATCTGTGGAACCATCCATGAAAAATGGAAGGCCCCGCGGCCCCACTGTTGCGTTCACTGTGGCGCCTTCCCTATGGCTGGGCCAGAGAGGGGGACGTGACTGAGCAGGGCGCGGAGCAGGTGAGAGCAGCCCTGCTGCCTGGAGCCCGGCTTTCGTGAGAGCCGATGGTCTGCTGCGGCTTGTGCTGTTCACACGAGTCCATTGGTCTTCCCAAAGCTGCTGTGAGCTGCACCCTTCAGATTGGCGCTCCACGTGCCACGGGCGTGGCTCCGTCAGCAGCGGTACCGAGGGGCCTTCCTGGAAGCCGGTCTCATTGCACGTGCAGGTTCAGCCCTGACTTACACGAGGGCTGATCAGATCGTGCGGTCTCTACATGGTCCTGACACCCGCTGGGGCAGCCTGGTCAGCGGAGGGCACGGCAGCCACGGGTTTTCTTTGTCATGACAGCCACATCGTGTTTTCATGTGGGGGCTTCTCACGTAGAAGGACATTGCTGTCACCTCGGTTGTGGGAGCAGACACCACAGATCACTCATCTCTGCAGTAGTCTGCGATTGAGAACCGAGTCCAAAGCATCTAGGCAACTGGGAACCTTAGGTTCCTTCCTGAACAGTGGTTCCGAGACTTGAACTTCAGAGGACGGGTTGGATGAGTGGTACAGTCAGGAGGGTCGCCTGCTGCTTTGCCAGTGTGCCGGCCACTGCCACAGATGAGAAGTATTGTAGCAGCATTGGCCTTGGTTGTCCCTGTTTGCTGTTGCCCACAATCCCACCACTAGGTGATTTTGGTTGTATCTTTCATGAGGGTTTCTTAGTGAATGTGTATGTCTGAATATATATAAGTGTGTGTATTTGTACAAAGTGGACTCAGAGTGTGCACACTGTTCTTTAGCAGGCTTGTCTCTGTGGAGGCTTGGTTCAAGTTTTATTACTTTAACTCATTCCCCTGTGTTGTAGAGAATCTTTCAAGTCCACATCTTTGCTCAGCAGGTCCCTATCACGATCCAGTCCATTGTCATCCAGTCTCTAAACAAAACACTCACCCGACTAGCAGCCCCAGAGGTGCTGCCACCGTCTCTGATCACTGCTGGGCATGCCACAGTCTGCACGAACGTCGTCCTTGAGGTAGGTGCCCAGTCTGGCTTCGGAAGCTCCATCTGTCTGGCAGAGTCCTCTGCAGGTAACGGAATGCCGGGACACCTGCAAAGAGGTCTGGTTCCTCCCGCAGTGTTGCTTCTCCTGGCCTCCTGTGCGCCATCACACTTGTCTCCAAGGGACAAGTACACTTGCAGGAATGCATCAGGACATTGTTGTCTTTGGTTTAACGCATGTCCCCTGTGGAGCTGGGTTAATTCTGCACGGACCAGGTGGTTTGGAACTTAGTTACAGAAGCTGGGCACACAGGGGCTTTGGTGCCCCCCCCCCCCCCCCCCGGCTGGGGAGACGCGGAGGGAACCTCTCTCGCATTCCTCAGTGAAAAGCTGCAGCTAGTGGTGAGGCGGAAAGGCTTTGCTGCTCCGCGTACAGCAGCTGAGCTGTCGTGGGAACAGGTGTGTTTGCAGTCTGATTTTGTTTGTAGGTAAAGTACCGGCTCACGTACACAGACGCCGGTGAAGTCACAGACGCCGATCTCTTTCTCCTCCTGGGGACAGTCAGCAGTGCGGTGGCTCCACTGCAGCAAAAGTTCGAGATCGACTTCATTCAGGTAAGGCGGGTCATTTTGTACAAGTCTAATTGCCGAGTTAAGAAGTCATGCGTTCTTCCTGAGAAAAACTCAATTTAGCAGTATCACCCCATCTCACCCTCTGCACTGAACAAAAGGTTTGCGTGTGGCAGGTGGAGTTGGTAATGGAACCGGGGTAGTCTTTGTGCCGTTCCCACTTGGAAATGCGATTGCTTTCCACGCTAGCTTGTTCTTTTACAGCCTGGGGCACTCCCACACCAGTAGTATATTTATAATTCTGAGTAGGGGGAGACATTCTTTTATTGGCAGGAGATTCCAGATTTTGTGGGGAGAAGCATCTCATTTTCTTCCTGCTGTTCCCTCATTGAAATGGGAATTCTTGGGGGGCACTTCTGCCTTGTTTTTCAGCACAGCACGAAGCCGGTTCCTCTCAGTGGCAACCCTGGTTACGTTGTGGGGCTCCCGTTAGTTGCTGGATTTCAGCCTCAGAAGGGATATCCTTTGTGGTTCTGTAGAGAAGGTTGGCTCCCTGCCAGCCTGCTTCCAGGGAGGAGAGACCAGTGTCGGCCAGAGCACGCTCCCGGAGGCTCTGGCGGGGGTGGGACTGGCTGCAGAGCCATCGGGGTGAGACGGCATGGGTGGGGAAAATGTCAGTGTTTGGAAACAAAAATCTTAAGACAGAAAAGTTGACATTCATTTAGTTGGGTTTAATTAATTAAAATAATTAATTTTAATACTTAAACAGAATCTCCTGCACGGATGTAGTCATTTTGAAAATTTGGAATTAATGTTGAAGAGCCAATTTTCTGAAGCCTTTTTTCCTGAGGATTTATGAATCAAGGAAGATGGCTAGAACTTAGAATCCCAGGGGTCCAGGGAGGTTGGCTTTGGGTCTCACTCGTGTCTCACATCACAGAGGTGATGCCATCTCCTGACCTGAGATTCGGGCTGCTCTAGCACTAGGCGGCTATGCCTTAACTGTCGGCGAATATCTGGAATCATCCAGACCACAAATAGGTACGGACAACTTACCATTCTTCGTAGCACAACTGAGCAAGACTGCTTAGCCCTGGAGGGCGTCCGAGCCCCGGTGTTGTTTGGTCACGACATGCAGTCTGGCTGTAAACTGAGGTAAGGAGCCACTGTGCCTGTCCAGGTGTGTGTATGCCAACCACAAGGAGAGCCTTCCAGCCTGTCCACTTTAGTCCAGCCTCTGCCTCGGCTGCTGAGCTCCTGAACGCTGGCCTTGCTGATGGGTGGTGGCAGAACTGTGCAGGTGTGGCAGATGAGCATGGCAAGCCTGCATGCTTCCTGTTGACTTCCAGCCACGACGTTGCCCCCGGAAGTCCTACTCAAGGACACTTCAGAAGGCTTATGGAGAAATCGAATGAAAAGATAAGTTTATTTTGGTGCAAAAAATGTGAAATTCATGTGTAATTTTTTCAACATAATGCATTTCCTGTGAACTTTTTGAAGAGTCTTCATATGTATGGATTTCAAACTTTTTTTTTGGCACCAAAGTAAACTTTTAATTTCATTTTCCATGAACTTTTTGGAGTGCCTTCTTATTTCTGAATTTTGATATTTGCATGCACAGCATGAGGAAACCAGTGAGAGGAACCCCAAATGTGATCCATGTGTTTTTATTGTCATTTTGTCTACTGTGTATATACTGTAAAATGTCATATAGCTCTGGGTGGCTCATTATAAAGCCAGCAGTTCAAACCTCAGAGACTACCATTCCAACTTATGTAGCCGAGTTTCTTTGGGAATCCAACCCCAATCTTGAAATAACCACTTCTTGATATTTTTTTTTTAATTTTTTTTCCTTGGTGGATTTCCACTATGGAAGAAGATTTGGCTCTTGCCACATACTTTCCACTTCTCCCCAGGTTAATACTATCATGATTTTGGCTAGAGCAGTCTAACATTTGCATTTTTAGTTTTGATCTCTTTAGGCCAGCATTCCGTGGAATACGTTTCTACAAGATGTCAGCAGGCATGGTCTGTAGTCCAGTATGTTTGGGGACACCAAATCAAAGTGAAAACCACAGCTGCTTCCTCTGGGAAGGCTTAGAGCCGTAGAAGCTGTGTGCTTCAAGGAGAGACGGGGTCTCCTAAACTTTTGGCTGTGGAACCATTCTAGTAGTTTCGGGAACCCAGTTTGAGAAACATCTGGACTCATCTCCTTGGCTAAGATTTCACGAAGTTTGAGCCACCTTGGCTTCTGCCAAAGAGTCCCCCTTTTGCAGAGCTAAGAGCGAAGCTGAGGGGCATGGCTGCCGTTGAGGCCCCTAGCAGCAGCTTCTAGGGGACAGCGGCCCTCTTTGTTGACCTCTTTTCTCTTCCCTAGACTGACCAGAGCCCTCCCATGTCGGCTCTTGGCGCCAATAGTGAAGAGCCTGCTGGTGGGCCAGGGCTTTCCAGATTACGTGGCTCCCTTTGGAAATACCCGTGCCCAGGATGTGCTGGACTGGGTGCCCGTCCACTTTGTCACCCAGTCATCCAACATGAAGGTAAAGGGGGGCCGGCGCCGCAGCTCACTAGGCTAATCCTCCGCCTAGCGGCGCCGGCACACTGGGTTCTAGTCTCGGTTGGGGCGCCGGATTCTGTCCCGGTTGCCCCTCTTCCAGGCCAGCTCTCTGCTGTGGCCAGGGAGTGCAGTGGAGGATGGCCCAAGTGCTTGGGCCTTGCACCCCATGGGAGACCAGGAAAAGCACCTGGCTCCTGGCTCCTGCCATCGGATCAGCGCGGTGCGCCGGCCGCAGCGCGCCGGCCGCGGCGGCCATTGGAGGGTGAACCAACGGCAAAGGAAGACCTTTCTCTCTGTCTCTCTCTCTCACTGTCCACTCTGCCTGTCAAAAAAAAAATTTAAAAAAAAAAGGGGGGGGGCAGTTGAAGGCCACAGGCCGGTAGTCTCTCCCTCTCCTGGGCCGGGTGGTGGGGCCCCGCAGGGAGTGAGGTGGGCAAGTCTGGGTAGGAGCCTGGGTGCTGTGAGCAGACTGGCCTGGATCTGTAATACTGAGTTTGCCGCATGAGCAGTGTTGCCTGTGGCCAGCAGTTTGGAGGTCGGAACCTCTTTCCTGTGCAGTGGGAATGACAGTCACAGTACAGACCTGGCCCTTGTCGGGAGGGGGAGCTCGTTTGGTCCCTGGCACAGCAGCTAGTGTTCCTTTCCTAAATGGGGCTGCTGCTGGCCATCCTGGTGGTACGGGTCGGCCATTCCTAACCTGGACTTTGAGTGCTGATGTAATGCCACAAGTGAGAAATCCCACACCTTGTGATGGGCTGCAGGTGCAGGGCAGGTGTTTGGCCTAGCAGGTAAGATGCTGGTTAGGATTCCTATAGTCTGTATTAGAGCGCCTGGGTTCAAGTCCCGTGTATGGCTCCCGATGCTAGCTTCCTCCTGATCCAGACCCTGGGAGGCAGCAGGCGATGGCCTAAGTGACTGAGCCCTGCCATCACGGGGGAGCCTAGCTGGAGTTCTAGGCTTCTGACGGGCCTGGCCCGGCTTTACCTATTGTGGGTATTTGGAGAGTGAACCAGCAAACAGGAACTTTCTCTGTGTCTCAAAAACCAAACAAAAGAACAGGTGCAGTAAGAACATGATATAAAATTACCTTCAGCTGCGTTTGAGGTGTATATGAAATTGTGTTTGGACTCGGCTCCTATCCCCATTATGTATATGCGGCCGTCCCCCAATCTGAAACACTGGTAGGGGCTACTCAGCAAGCACCGCGACTTTGTCCCTGTTTGCGGGTGTTAGGTGAGCCTCCGGGCATCTTGGGGTGCAGTAAGCTGCATGTGAGGCCTGTCTCCAAGGTGGCGGCTTCCTCCCATCCACATCGCCGTCCCAGCCTTTGTTCCTGTTCCACAGCACAGCCCACGCGTGAGCTTTTAATTCCAAAGTTCCCCAAAGGGTTTAATGGAAATTGACTTCCTACAAATAGGCTCCTGGGCACGTGTGAGTCTTCTGCCCACCTTTTCTTTTGTCTCTGCCGTCAGCGCGTGGGCCGGGCCCTGTCCATCACCAGAGGCGCACTCCCCAGCTTATCCCCTAATCACCCAGTGTTTCTCTGTCACAGTTCCTCGGGCTCATTATCTGCTTAGCACATGTATAGCAAGGGCGCCACGGGGTGAGGACCAGCTCACGAGCTCCGATCCTGCCCTCCCCCGCAAGTCTCCAGCAGAGACCCAGGATCACTCAGTCCTGCTGACTCCTGTCCTTCTCTGCTGCCTTGGTGAACGCAGCCAGTTGCCGGCCTCTTGGCAAGCTGGGAAGACGTCCTGTTCTTTTTTGCCCTCCAGAAGGATGGCAGCTTGGGAGGAGGGGCAGCAGCGCAGGGTGCTGGCCAGGGTGTTCCTGGCTTTGGCACCGCTTTGGCACCTGCCAGCAAGTGGCCAGGGTGCTCCGAGGGCCTGCAGTGGGTTCTGTTCCGGCCACGTAGGTAGCAGCTGCATGAGCGTCTCCACACTTCTGTCACCCACTGCCTCCTATCCGGATGGCCTGATACACCTAGGGGTTGCTGGTTCATTGCCTAAATGTAAATGGCCACAACAGCCAGGGCTGAGCAGGCTGAAGCCAGGCGCCTGGAACTCCATCCAGGTCTCCCACGTGGGTGCAGGGGCCCAAGGACTTGGGTCACCTTCCACTTCTTTCCCAGGCACATTAGCAGGGAGCGACATCAGAAGTGGAACAGCTGGGACTCAAATCAGCGCTCATATGGGATGCTGGCACTGCAGGCTGCAGCTTAATGCTGGCTCCATTTGCTTGCAAGTTTCTTTTCAGATTTTATTTGAGAGGTAGAGTTACAGGGAGAGAGGTCTTCCATCCACTGGTTACTCCCCAAATGGCCGCAATAGCCAGAGCTGGGCTGATCTGAAGCCAGGAGCTTCTGGGTCTCCCATGTGAGGGCAGGGGCCCAGGCAATTGGGCCATCTTCCACTGCTTTCCCAGGCCATCAGCCAGGAGCTAGATCAAAATTGGAGCAGCCGGGATTTGAACCTGTATCCATATGGATGCTGGCATTGCAGGTAGAGGCCTAACCTACTATGCCACAGCACAAGGTTCTTAAAGGCAGTGCCTTGCGGGCAGGTGCCAAAGTCAGGAAGCCCACTTAGCCACTCATGTCCTGAGGTGTGTCTAAAACAATCTATATCATGGAAAAATTCCAGGCACACTCAGAAGTAGCACAGTGTAACAGAGTCCCCATCTGCCCGTCAGGCAGCGTCAACAGATACCACGGCTGCCCGCTGAAGCAGGAGGGAGGTCTGGAAGGCACACTTGCCTGTTTTCCCTTGGGGCTGACCAAGCAAAGAGCCTGGGGCAGAGGCCACAGATCCAACTCCTGTAGTGTTGAGCCTCAGCTCAGGCAGCTTGACCACGGCAGGCTCAGCGCACGTGAGTGGTTAGTGTCTGACAGCACACGAGCACTGCCCACGTATCCAAATATCACAGTGCTGCCTACTGAAGAAATTAGGAAACAAAAATAAGAAGCCAGCCCTTGGGTTTCCGCTCAGCGCATCTTGGCACGATGAGCCTTCAGGTTCTGTTCTGTGAATACCCCCATTCTCTCCTGGCCCCTCGTGCCAGCCAGCCTCTCGCAGTACCTGCGAGGCAGACAGCTGAGAACAGGTAGCTGAAGGCCCAGCAAGCTGTTAAGGCCCCAGGGTTCCCTAGCTGGCTTGGGGTTGCCGTGGCTCCCAGCAGAAGCAGGAGGGGATGGGAAGGCACGCTCTCGGTGTAGAAGTGTTTGTGCCTGAGCTTCCCATCTATTCATTCTGTTGTTCAGAACACCTTGGATGTGTGAAACATCTCCTAATCAGAACTCTGAACTGCAGGTTCAGTCTGAGGTTGTGCAAGATTCACACTGATGAGTGGCGTTTTGTTCTGCAGGATTCTTGCCAGCTCCCTGTGGCTCTGGTTATAGAAGTGAAGTGGACTAAATACGGGTCCTTGCTGAACCCACAGGCCAAAATCGTGAACGTGACCGCGCGTCTCCTCTCCTCCTCGCTCCCTGAGGTGCGTCTCCCTGTAGCCTCGAGCAAACTCAAGTGTGGCTGGGGAGTTTTAAAGGATTGTAATTTAACAATTTGGATGCTGAGAGAAATTCAAGTCATTCTTTGCCTTTTACTTAGTTTGAGCATGGTTTTATTTGCATTAGTATTCTTGTTTAGACTTGATATTGGATGTCAGGACAACCTGAGTAAAATGGTCCCTCACAGGCAGCTTAGTGGCCAAGCAGCCCTTTGTGTCCATCGGCCTCGCCAGCAGGCAGTGGTTGAGCGAGGGAGGGAGCGAGAGATCCCGTGTGTTCTCCTGGGCGCAGGCCGGGGGCAGGACTTGCATCTGCCTTTTTGCTGCAGACGCACTCAGGAAGTGAAAGGACGACTCTTCTCTCCACTGCGGTCACCTTCATGGACGTGTCTGCACCTGCAGAGGCCGGCTTCCGGGCTCGACCAACCATCAACGCCAGGCTGCCCTTTAACTTCTTCTTCCCGTTTGTCTGACGTGAGCTGTTGCCGAAGGACACACCCCCACCTTGCAGTCTTCCCCTGGAGGCCAGGCTGTGTGAGGAGGACCGGAATCCATTCCTCCTTGCCCTGGAGGCTGCCCCAGACCAGCGCCGCCCTCTCCCGTCCTGCGGGCATCTGGTGTTGGTCTTTCCCGGCACTCACCCGGGAGGTCACAGGTCCTCAGGAAGCCCTCAAGCTCCAGCAGCAGGAACGGCCTCGCCTCTTCACTCGTCCCCTGCTTCATGGAAGCTATTTTAAACAGCATGTGTTGTTTTTAGTTCAGGTTTTCTTTGCTTTACAGATATGGTTGAAATGAGTACAAAAATAGCAAAATATCACGTAAAGTCACATAAGTAGATTACAAAGCTTCACGTGGGCTCTTCCCCTAAAGAGCATGCTAATTACAGGGGAGGCGCAGGTCTAATTGCCACTGTGTGCCGGCCCCACGCCAGCTCCAGCTCCAGCTGGTGGGCTGGTGTGGGATGCTACCCAGGAAAGAATACAGGAGGAGGGCCTGGGGAGGGACAGAGTTTATTTTTTACATTAATTGTACAGGAATTGAGAAAACCCTTGTCAGGTGGCAGAGCGAGGTGGCGGCAGCTAGAATCCGGATGTGCAGCTGGGTGCTGCAGGGGCGGGGCCCGCGAGCAGCTCCCCTGGGGTAAGCTGACAAGCAGCTGTTTAGAACAGCTAGGAACTAAGACTGTCCCCTCAGGGCGCTCCCCTGCGAGGCCGTGCTGGTCCTTCTGTGTACACAGGCGCTCTGGAAACTGTACATTTGATGAGATTAAATTGTATATACAACTCGTGAGTGTTCACTTCAGCGGTCGCTCGCAAGCAGGAACGTTCATGCTGAGCGAGAGAGCTGACAGAAGTGTCACCCAGGGCGGCGTGGGCATGGGGCTGTGTCCATTCCCTCAGGCTGTGTCCACCCTGAATCCACGCTGGGCAGATGGAGGCAAAGGCATCAAGCCAGACCTCTCCCGACGGCCCCAGGCGCGGCGGCAGTCAGCGCTGTGGCCCGGCGTGCGCCGTGCGCTTGTCCTCTCGGGGAAGCCGTGCTCGTCTAGTTCACCTCGCCCAGAAGTCCGTGTTGTCTCAAGAGCTTGTTGAGTCTCTCAATTTCCTGTTCCTGATGCAAAAGCAGACACATGTGAGGATTTTCCCCTGTGAGCCTAACGGGAGTGTGACGGTCACCCAGGGGACCCAGGGGCGCGAGGGGAGGAAGGCTGCATTCCTCACGGGACTTGGCCCACCGGGGAGACCCTCTGATCAGACAGGGCTGCAAACGCGAACGCCCCCCCGCCCCCCCAGTGACCCTTCCCACCTTCTCAGAGCAGCTGAATTCGAGGTGCTGGACCTTGGCGGCCAGCTGGATGTTCATCTGTTTTAACCGTAAGAGTTTCCGTTCTGAACGAGTCTTCACCGAGATAATTATCCCTGAAAAATATGAGGGCTCAGTGACACTGGTTCCTAACTTTAACCCCTCAGGGCCAAAAGGTGTGTGTTCTCCACGTAAGCAGCTGAGAGTGGTGCAGGCAAGCATCAGAACGAGGAGGGTCTGTGCCACTCGGGATCTGGTTATGCGGATAAGAGATCAGTAAAAATAATCCTGGGGCCCACGTTGTGGCGTAGTGGGTTAAGCTGTCACCTGTGATGCCGGCATCCTATATGGATGCTGGTTCAAGTCCCAGCTGCTCCTCTTCTGATCCAGCTCCCTGCTAATGCACCCGGGAAAGCCCTGGAAAATGGCCCAAGTGCTTGGGCCCCTGCCACCCGGAGGAAGCTCCCAGCGTCAGCCTGGCCCAGCCTCAGCCATTGTGGCCATCTGGGGAATGAACCAGTGGATGGAAGATCTCTAACTTTTTTGAATAAATAAAATCAATCTTAATACTTGTGATTATTTTTTAAAAGTTTCTTAATACAGGACTTGTGCACAGCAGTGTGTGGGTATGGGCAGCAAGGTGCACAGATGTTGAGGGCCCAGGGCAGGAGCCGCCTCTTCAGTAACAGGAAGGCTTTCACTCCTGACAGACCCAAGTTCTCTTGAGCACCAGATCAGACCTTGACCGAAACCTGCCCTTAGTGTGACGAGGCACATGGAGCTGGGGCCTTGTTCTTCACGGGGGTCTGCTGGGGCAGGACTCAGGAGGCCACCCAGCAAAGCAGCCGATGTCACAGGACACCCTGTGGGCAGGCCGTCGTCTCGCCCCACGCCTGGAGACTCAGACTAGGCTGGACATGCCATGCACCTGGAAGCACTTACACAGTGGCCTCTGCCCGGCTCCCCAGCCCCTCGGCAGCAGGCTCACTGACAGAGGCCCCATAGGGGACTGCTGCAGCAGGTGCATGGGTGACCTCGGAGGACTCCAACCAGGTCACCCCAGCTGGCGATCACTGTCCGCAGAAGCACAGCTCCAGCCGGTGTGAGCAAGAGCATCTGTACCTGGTGTCCATCAGCGTCCCAGGTGTGTTCTGCAGAGCCAGAGGCCAGGCCATGTTAGCAGGTGCATTTCTCCCCAGATGTCAGAATGGCAGTTTGGAGCACTGCCGGGGCTCTCCGCACCTTCCTCCCGCCAAGGCCCTGGGCCTGTCTCAAAGGCAGAGGCTTCCACCCAGGAGCGGCTCCCCGCTAGCTGTGTCCCTGCTGGACGGGGCCGCCCAAGGAGGGCTGGGTTGGGCAGGATCCTCATGTGGGAACGCCAGACTAAACAAGCGGGGCGGGCCTAATGGTGTCTTCACATTCAGAATGGGGCCTAGAGGAGGAGGGGCAGCTCCTCTTGGAGCAACCACAGAGGCAGCAGTGGGATGTGGAATCACACCCTCGCTTCTCTCTCGACTCCCCACGAGCAGGAGCAGGAGGCTGTGATGGAAACCACGGGTGTGTGTAAGCGCAGGCACCCAGTGATCACCAGCTGTGCCCACTCCCAGCCCCCGCCCCCGCCCCGACGCACCATTGACGATCCGGGCCACCCGCCAGAGCCGCAGCAGAATCAACAGGCCAAGAGCCTCGAACTCGTGCTCCCGGAACAGGAGGACAATGTCGAGGATGAACGAGACCACCACCACGACGGCATCCAGGATTTCAAACTTGTGGTGGAAGAACTCCAGGCGGAAGACAAATATCTTCAAGGAAATCTCCAGCAGAAAGGCGACCAAGATGATGATGCTCATGTAGTGGAACACCTGGAGGGACAGGGCTGCGTCAGCCAGGCCCAGGCCTGCTGGCCTCGGCGCACCTGCCTGGCGTTGGACAGGTTCCGAACTGGGCGCTGTTCCCAGTGCTGGAAATGCAACGGTGCCCACTGCAGACAAGGTCCCAGTTCTTTACTTTTGTTGTTGTTGTTGTTAATTTTACTAGGTTGGTGGTGTGGTGTAACCAGGGAAGCTGCTGCCTGCAGTGCTGGTATCTACCAATTTGGGCACCAGTTTGTGCCCTGGCTGCTCCACTTCTGATCCAGCTCTCTTCTATGGCCTGGGAAAGCAGCAGAAGGTGGCCCAAGTCCTTGGGCCCCTGCACCCATGTGGGAGACCTGGATGAAACTCCTGGCTTCAGCCTGGCTCAGCCCTGGCTGTTGTGGCCATTTGGGGAGTGAACCAGTGGGTGGAAGCTCTTTTTTCTGTCCCTTTCCCTCATTCCGTAAATCTGCCTTTTTTTTTTTTTAATTTTTTTTTTGACAGGCAGAGTGGACAGAGAGAGACAGAGAGAGGTCTTCCTTTTCCCTTGGTTCACCCCACAATGGTCGCCATGGCCACCGGCCATCGCACCGCGCTGACCTGAAGCCAGGAGCCAGGTGCTTCCTCCTGGTCTCCCATGCAGGTGAGGGCCCAAGCACTTGGGCCATCCTCCACTGCCTTCCCGGGCCACAGCAGAGAGCTGGACTGGAAGAGGAGCAACCGGGACAGAATCTGGTGCCCCGACCAGGACTAGAAACCGGTGTGCCAGCGCTGCAGGCAGAGGATTAGCCTATTGAGCCACGGCACCGGCCCTGTAAATCCGCCTTTCAAATAAGTCTTTAAAATAAATTTATTCACTTGAGAGACAGAGAATGAGAATGCATGCACTCTCATCTACCAGTTCACTCCCCAAATACCTGCATAGCTGGGGCTAAGTCACGCCAAAGCAGGGAGCTCCGTCCAGGTCTCCCACGTGAGTGGCAGGGACCCAAGGACTTGAGCCATCACATGCTGCCTCCCAGGGTCTGCATTAGTGGAAGCTGAAATTTAGAACTGGGAGTTGAACCAAAGCATTCCAACGAGGCTAAATACCTGCCCAGGTGCCTGGTTTTTTTTGTTGTTGTTGTTTTTGTTTAAGATTTATTTATTTATTTGAAAGGCAGAGTTAAGAGGCAGAGAGAGAGAGGTCTTCCATCTGCTGGTTTACTCCTTAGATGGCCATAATGGCTGGTGCTACGCCCATCTGAAGCCAGGAGCTTCTTCCGGGTCTCCCACGTGGGTGCAGGGGTCCAAGGTCTTGGGCCATCTTCTACTGCTTTCCCAGGCCACAGCAGAGAGCTGGGAAGTGGAGCAGCCAGGACATGAAGTGGCACTCAAATGGATGCCAGCACTGCAGATGGGGCTTTACCCGCTATGCCACAGTGCCAGCCCCACCTGTTCTTTTGAAGAGCAATTAGGCAAGGTCAGAATGAAAACATCCACCGTGCCCTTTGACCCACAGTTCTACCACTGGTAGCTTATCCTACAGCTAGACTCACGCGTGCACCGAGGACCCAGAGCCAGGCTGTCGGCACTGTCGGTAGGACAGTAACGACACGCCTTAGATGGCACTGCTCTGCCGGGCACTACTCAGTGGTCACAAAACAGGCAGATCTAGGCGGACAGACGGGCAACGGTCAGGGAGCAGCGCTCACGGGTGTGGATTCACACGCATCGGTCCTCACCGAGTGCTGCCAGGGGGCAAGGGAGGGACCAGGACTCACAGAGGCTTGTCCAAAGCGCGTGGCAGGGTGGGCGCTGGACCTGACGGTCATGCCACCGCTGGGGCCGCCTGCATCCCGCACTGGAGTGCCTGGGTTCGATTCCCAGCTCCACACTGCATCCTAGCTTCCTGCTTGCACGCACCCCGGGGGGCAGCAGGGAGTGCCTCCCGTACCTGGGAATCTGCTCTCAAGCAGGAGACCTGGACGGAGTCTGGGCGCCTGTCTTCCGCTAGCCCAGCCCTGGCTGCCGTGGGCAGGAGGAGTGAGCCAGCACAGGAGAGAGCTCTGTCTTCCTTTCAGATAATTAAAAAAAAAATACCAGTGTGGTTGAAGAGGCTCACTGTGACCAAATTTGGGACAATTTGAAAATGACTTGGAGGGATTCTGGTACCCTGAAACCAACCCACAAGTCTGGAACAAGTCTGGAACGAGGCCCAGTACACGTGCACACACACACCCACACACACGGGAGAAGCGGAAAACTATCAAAGGACACAAATTACTGAAGGCAGAGGAAAGACAGCATCTGAAGGTCACATTTAGTCCACCCCCCCCCCCCTTGCATTCACTCAGACAAGGATTATCGATGGTGCCAGCTGGGGACGAGGCCGCTGGCACGGCAGCCAAGTGTTAGTGCAGGACCCTGGCATCCTGTGCCTCTTGAGGGTGCCATGCAAGGAATAGCCCAGGGCCAGTGCTGTGGCACAGCGGGTTAAGTCACTGCCTGGGATGCCCACTTCCCACAGGGGCGCTGGTTCAAGTCCCAGCTACTCCACTTGCAATGCAGATCCTGCCCATGTGCCTGGGAAGGCAGTGGGTACCCAGGTACTTGGGCCCCTGCACCCGTGTGGGAGACCCAGATGG